ATTAGAGTCCACATGTCTGATGACAGTTCTAAAACAATGATGGTGGATGAGAGGCAGACAGTAAGACAAGTACTGGACAACCTGATGGACAAATCCCACTGCGGTTATAGTTTAGACTGGTCACTGGTGGAAACCATTTCTGAATTACAAATGGGTTAGTGATATCATTGTAATTTTGTGTGATTTCATCAGTTTGCGTGTTGAAAAAAGCATTTGAGTCATCTTTATATATTTTTTAGATAAAATTACCTTTCATAATTTGGCTTCTTTACATTATTATTTTCTGAAGTATTTTAAGAGTTCTTTGAATACAAGATCATTTCCAATTCACTTCAGATTTTATAATGGCCAAAACCATTATAAAAAGTATTGAAAATATTTTTTTCTTCAAACTACATACATTGATGCATTTACTAAAGATTATTATGTTAATTTGAATTTGTACTAAAGTCTTTAAACCAGCATTTGACTCAGGGGAAACATAAAGCACATTAACAAATTTCAAAGAATCCATATCTAGAACATGTTCTTTAACATATGTTCAGTATATAGAACATGTTCTTTCATTTCTAATTTGGAAATTAGAAAATACATCTATGTTTAAGATTAAACAACAGCCATGAATCAAAGAAGGAATCATCTTGGAAATGTTCTGAATGCCCAGAACTAAATACAGTTGGCAATACTTGATATCAAAACTTATAAAATGTAACTAATGTTTTGTTTTAAGGGTGGGATGGGAAAATGTTTAAGGCTGAAGAACTGTGTACTGCAAGTCAGAAGAGCTAGATTCTAGTCCTGGTTCTTCCATATATGAGCTGTGTGACCTTGGTTATGTCCCTAACATAATTAAGGCATGTTTCTTTGGAAAATTAGGGAAGACCAGATAATTCTAGGGGCTATCATGCCAGTTAAGATTCTGTGGTTCTGAGGTTAACTACCTCACAAAGTTTCATGTCTTTCATGCAATTCTAATGAATACTAAAAAATATGGATATTTTATTTTGGGACAGAGAGAATCTTTGAAGACCATGAAAACTTGGTTGAAAATCTTCTTAATTGGACAAGAGATAGCCAAAACAAGCTTATATTTATGGAGCGTATAGAAAAATATGCACTTTTCAAAAACCCACAGGTAAGACCAAACAACTTACAGAGGTCAGGATTTATAAATATGTATATATCCTATTTTATTAGATTACTGTTAAGTTCATAGAGTTAAAAGACTGGCAGCCACCTGGTTGAATCGGTATTATTTTTTGTGGGTAAAATGCATTATAAAAGAAGTCATTTTGTGGTTCTAAATTCTCCTAAAAGAGTAATCATAACATTATAACCTTATCTGTTATATTTTTAAAATGCTTTAAATTTATTTAAACAGATTATTTGATG